CGCTGTATTGGCATCAGTTTTAGTCGCTTGCTCGGTTACTACAGCCAATCCAATTCTTCCCAGTTCGACTACAAATGCTGAATATAGCACTTCAACGGACATTCTCAGCTCGACTACAAATGCTGAGTATAGCACCTCAACGGACATTCCCAGTTCGACTGCGAGTGCTGAATTTAGCCCTTCGCCAACCCCTGATGAAAGCGGCATAGGGTTACATGGTCTTGTTTTACTTTCAGTTAAAGTCAAGGACATGCTCGATGAATACTTGAAAAAGCGAAATAACTATTCTAAGCAAAAAGAATCATGTGACTTGATAGGATCTCGATTTCTTGAACAACAGAAATTGGTAAAGAATCTGGAGAAAAAGGTTCGAAATTTTAAATTAAGACTTGAAAGTAGTGATGGCAATCCAAGACATGGTCGTAATAGTAAAATGGAGGGACGTGAGGTTAATCTTGAAAGCCAATATTCCAAATACTTGAAGCTTGAAAGACAAAAGGAAAAATGCGATCTTGAGAGTGGTCGTCTTGAGGATGAACTGGAGTTAATAAAAATATTATTCGTGGAGCTCGTTTTCGGAAGACCTTACGATCTCGATTCGTTTGAGGATCAATTTTTGCTTATCCTTTCACATCCTACCGTTGATTATTACCTCGAGAATTCATGTGATAAAGAACGACCATCATCGGAAATGCCGTCTAAATCTGGTTCCAATAAGCGGAAAAGCTCCAAACTTATGGATAGATTTAAATCATTTTTCGGGTGATTCTATAAAGATTCATTCAACTGATTTGAATGCTAATCTGGACTGGTCTCGGCCGATTCAATTGTCATTCTACAACTGCATTTATAATTTAGCTTACAATAAAATTTGATTTTCATGAATGAATGCTGATCATTGTACTGTTTTAGTTGGCATATTTGTGTTTGACATTGATCGACAATCATTAATATTATCAGCACATTCACACATTATACAGTCAAAAATAAGACCCAATCACGGTACTCAACCAGATCCTGTTTAGTGTTTGCAGTCTCTGCAGTGGTGACTGGACTAAACTCATGATTGTTGAAAACATGGCAATATCACCGCATCAATCAACCAGTACTGTTTACTCAATCACCCAATGCATTCGTGACAAATGTGAAGTGCTTTCGATTGATTCAGACAGTGCATCTGCGTTTGATGCAACTCGACTGGTATATATAGTTGGATCTGTGTGCATGCGATTGATCAACAGCGATTTGTCAGTGTACACGCAGACCAACAATTTATGTGGTATCAGTCCAATCCAAACTACTGGCAGGGCAACTCGAGGTAATATGAACTCGATTGGAAACGTTGACTTTTTCACATTGATGGACGAAATGCGACAAACAGTCAAATACCTCACCATGCAAGCTGTATCCTTGAAAACTGATCTGATCGCTGTGACTAGCGCATTTGGTCAGTTGCAGAGCCAAACCAATGACATTGTTGTCATGATGACCAAACACGACAATGTCATTCGATCATTACTGGAGCAGATCTTGGTCAAACTGGACTCTGGTTGCTCACCAACACATGCAGTTGTTATACCAGTTGTGGTATTCGAAACCATTTCCATGACTGTGGACATCATCGCAACAGTGACTGTGTTTTGTCCACAAAGTCAATCCAAGTTGTTCATATGCGACAACAGCACGTTGCACACACACGCAGACTGTCGATACGGAATGCCAAGCAACAATCAACTTATTCCGTAGTCGTGCAATTGTTGACATAAATGCCATTGCGGTCAATGCTGTATCAACTGGTGTCAAACCTTGAATGAATGCTGCAACTCGCATTTGTTTATTGCGTTTTGCATCGAATTCAATGTGCACACTCAATAAACTTTGTGGTATTCTGGTCACATTCCGTATCAATCTGCAACGGATTACCAACATCCATACAATCAACAACACGATCAGATTATTAGTAGATCAATCTATTGCTGTCAAACTTGTAGTCATGACCCAACTCGGTACAAATCAGGTCAAGTTTGATCCAGAAACTCCAATAAAAAACATCAACCCGACCATTGAGCTGGCTGCTCGTTGACGGTTTGCTGGTTATGTGGGTTTATTGTTGATGGGTAAGCGTGTAAACTGTCGTACACGCAATTTATACTGCGAGTTGATGGTCAAGTCTGACAATCTGCATTCATGAACTTGTGTGCAAACAGTGTTTTGTTGCATCTCAAACATCCTGCAACTCGCACAGTTGTTTGCACAGTTGTTCCTCTATCAATCCAACTGGATCTGCAACTCTGTCAAGCAAATCCGTAGTTCAACCTGCTGATGTTGATGTGACTACAATAAACACGAAACTCACCAAAATAACACTTGCTGATCTGACAGGTCAATGAGTGACACTCTAACCATTAATACCAAACAAACAACGTTTTGAATCAACAATCAACTGTCATGACAATTGGTAACATTCGTGGTCATTTGGCATTCATCTCAAACCATCACATCAAACACATTTCCAAAATCGATTGCTGGACAACTCAACTCGATGCACGAGTCCGCATTACTGTATCAGAGTTGTTAAACATTGGTAATGTGAAAATATCATAAATAACGAGATATTTCAGAGACTCATACACGACGCATATATGTTTGAGGCGATGTCTATCGCAGCCATCACTTGTGCAATAACAAGAGACTTTCTCAGCTATGACGTCTAATTCACGGATACGCATAACCGTTATTTACATCTTTATAAAATGATCAATGTTTTCTTTTATCAATAAACACAATTAACTCATTGGTTCATTCCTTCATTCTCATCTTTTACTTTTGATATTCCTCCAAAACTATACTACATTAATGTGTTGTCATACGTCCAAGAGCAACAGTATTGCTGTGGTGTGATGTTGGCAACTACACACAACTTGACATGAATGACAATGTATTACAATGTATTGGTCAACAGTGACTGCAATCAATGACAATATTGCAGTCAATTCAATCCAATTGTTGATTGGAACAATCCACATCCACTTGTCAGATTCAGAATGTAAATGAATGTTTTGTAACACATTTACCAATCCAACAATTGACTGATTAACAATAATTGAATATTAAATGTTGAATAAGAGACTCGAGTCATTATATGAATGACGTAATCAATTGAGTTGAATTGACACTCGATTGAACAATACAAATAAACACATGACAAATGTTTAAACACTATTCAAAGTGTGTGAATTTGAATACATGACAAATTAATACAATTTGACAGTTTTAATTTCACAAAAATGCTTAATTTAACAGTTTTAATTTCACAAAATTGCTTAATTTAAACAATATTCAGTGTGAATTTGTTTCACATGACATTAAATTTTGGATTTAAAGTCGAATTTTTTCCTTTCTTTTCTTCATTACATTACATTCAATTTCATTCTTATTCTATTCCATTCAATTCCTTCAATTCTCTCCAGTAAACTCCAATGGAGAACAAAGCATTCTTCGTTCGGTACCTTACAAACCAATCTGTAAAGGTTGAAACTCACTATATCGGCGAACAAGACAGACAAAGACCACTGACTGACGTTGCTGACCTGGTCGCCGCTTACAAGCCAGGGTCACTTCTCGCTGACACGCCGACCGAGCTACTCACTCTCCATTATGCTGTTGATAGACCAGCCATTGCTGGGGATGTGCTCCTGACCTCCATTCAGGAACCAGTTGGTTCTTACGAACATCCATTCATTATTAAATCCAAAAATGGTACTGGACAAGGCATCTCTAGTGCAGTATCAGGAGCTCCAGTAGGTTCGAATACCGGAATGGTTTCAGGAACATTCGAAGAAACTGCAGATACCGAAAACACTATGTCACTTTTAAAGTATCATCACATTGCCGATTCTTTAAAAAACGACAACTGTGTCGTGGAAATCGTAAAAATTATCCTTTCGATCACAGCTGGAGAATTTTCGGGGTCAAGCTTCAAAAATTTACCGTTTGCATTTCTCGAGGGCTCATCTGGCTCAGGAAAGAGTCAGATGGGCTTTAATATCAAAGCCAATATTGGTGATCGGAGGAGAGTGCATTATCTCCTGTTCGATCCTCCCGGTTCGACATCACAAAGAATCTACCGCAACTTTGAAAACATTTCAAAGTTGTTCAGCAAATGTTATGTAGCGGATGAGCAAATGTATAGCCCTGAAGCTTCGTCTCCAAGCTGTGGTTCGCTGTTCAAAGAAAGTCTATATATGTATGGATTTATTTTTGAACTGCTATCCAACAAAATTCAGTCACCCACAGTCAGTATTGGCCCAAAGACTGGCAAAGATGTCCAAAAACTGATGGCTCGTAAAAAAATTCATCAACGCAGACCAGTGTTTATTCTGGACGAGTGTATTGCTATTTCAGACCAGTCCTTAAAAAAAGTGCGATTTGTGCGAAATTGCTTCCGCTCATTGGGTCTGGGACTCGTTATGATGGGAACAGATTCCAGAGCAGCCAAACTGCAACTCAGCATTGGAGGAAGCAGTCGAAGTGATGTTCCAATGCCGTGGTGTCATGTGTTTGGGGAATTTCCAGCAGTAAAACTAGAACTAACAGGATTGCCATCTAGACTACCAAGATATCTCAAATCTATCATACTCAACTCAAGGCCACTTTTTGCGCAGTTTGTCGCAGAAGAAATCGCAAACAAGGTTTCAGATTTTGACGAATTGATGAAAGCAGCGTTTATTAAACTGAAATCAGTCAAAATGATATTTGGAAATCTTTACGGACAACTTGGACAGGTTCGGCTGCTTCATAACGCTCACTGTCAACTGACCGATTTGGAAAGCCAATCGACCAATCTGAAAAACCAATCGACTCCATTGATTCACTCACACTTTGCCCAGCTAAATGGAAAAAAAAACTTTATATTGATGAACAATGGATGTATTCAAAACCATTCTGCTTCTTGGAGACCGTCTTCGGTGTTTCCAGAGCTAAAGAATGACATTTTGCTTTACCTGCTGTTGATGGGTGGAAAGGGATTTTCCGCCTGTTATGCAGGGGATGGCAAGCAGGTGCCATATGCATATTTTTTGATGGAAGCCAAGAGTAATCCGGATTATCGCAGCCATATTCTATACTTTTCGAATGCTGCACAGGATAGCAATGATGGAATGTTTCTCAAGTCTTTGCTATGTTCGACGGTCTGTTTGGCTTCACATTCTAATGGCGTCAAGGGAATTGGTCTAAAACCGTTTCTGTTGAATTTGGTATACCAGCTTCAGATTGATAAACCTGATTCCGAAGACGTCTCTATACTCGATCTGAACAGGCTCGATGGTATAACATTTACTGTACCTTTTCTTTCACCACCAAACCAAAAGTGGCCCGATTTTGTTCAAATACCTGGTTCAAACTTTGATTGGTTATCAAGAACTCGAAACTCGGAAAGTATTGATTTGAAGACTTCCTGTGGACTTTTTGGAGAATCCAAAGATCACAAAGGTGTAATCAGCCTTGAAACAATGGTGAATATCATTGGTAGGATTCCTGAAGCAGCAGAGGTGGAACTAGTTTTTACACGAAAACTTCAAGATTCGTACTTTAATCCTCCAGCTCCATCGTTTGAAATTCAATTCCAAAGAAAAGGCCATGTTCTAAAAAAGGCTTACTACAAGATTGACGCTTCAAAGCCCAACACTTTGCTTGAACCAATCGAGGGTCTTCCGTGCGACCAGCCTGATATGGATGGAGTTGTTATTTTCTTTGAGATCAATGACAGGGTTATTATTTAATGAGCATTGATATTTCCTCCCAATAAATATATTTATTAATTTGTACAAATCTATAATAACTCGATCGAATTGAGCAGGTTGTTTTTGGATAAATATCAGTAATAATTACACAATCATTTAACAATCTATCCAGTTTCAAGGATATTGTTACAATTATGGGCAAGATATACAACAATCCAATCGTGTTCATTATGTCCATTGTGCTATCGAGTATGAATATTGCACAAAACTATCCATCATTCAAACTACAGACTATCCACTGTTGCACCTCGAGACTTTTGTCCATAATGACCCATTTTTGGTAGATTGCTGTTTTTGACAAGCTTGGACAAATCTAATAGTAATTATTGGCCAACAAAACTGGTATCATTTGGTGCCTTGTCTACACTGTTATAATTGACAGTTCTGGTGTTTCAAGTAGTGTATATTGAGAACATTGCATTATGGTTCCATTGCAATGTACGACACAAGTTGGATGATGTGCGCAATGACGTACATCATATCGGCTATAAATGGATCAATGCATACCTTTGTAATAAATAACCAGCTTTATTACTACACCTGCCGAGTCTCTAGTTTCACAATAGTCTTTGATTTCCAACATGAATACCGCTACATTCAAAATGCACAACACGCTTGATATGGAACAAAAACAGCACTATTGTCCACGTTGCTACAAGTATATTGGGATCATCATTGTATCACACACTACTGGTAGCTGTAAATCGGACGACAAAAACACAAACAGTGATGTTGAACATGATGAGTAAACCTAGTTGTATTGGTTGCTGTTGCACAAAAACAGCTGTTTTTAACAGTACACTTTGAATATCGTAATGTTGATCAATCACAAATATATGGGTTTTGATGGGTCCAGTAGATCAATTCAGTGTATAGTAGTGATTAGTGCAATATGATCAATTCAAGCATGCCATGCCATGTCGTGTCGTGTCATTGTATTGGTAA